TCTCACGTCTCAGCTGTCTCACGTCTCAGCTGTCTCACGTCTCAGCTGTCTCACGTCTCAGCTGTCTCACGTCTCAGCTGTCTCACGTCTCAGCTGTCTCGTGTCTCAGTTGTCTCGCTTCACGTGCAAAACCTTTAAACGTCCAACCGCTTCGGCACCGACCTCACTGCATGCTCCGTCAAATCTCGGCTCTCTGCCAACTAGCAGCGTATGATGACACTGGCTACTGAGGGGTGGGACCCCCTCCACCCATGCTGCCAGTCCCCGGCGCAAGGACTGCCCCACCCATGCTGCCGGCCTCCAGTTCAGCACGGCCCCACCCATGATACCAGCCCTTGGATGGGTGGGACCTGCCCCTACGTGGTCACATTTTGTGGGTTCATTGCTCGTTGGGAATTTGCCAGAGATCGCGTGCGCGTGATCGCTGCAGCAAGCACCGCATCCGACACTGGCGCCGCCGCCGGGGTTTAGTCGGGCGCCGTCGGCACGGGCGAGGAGGCGTCGCCGGGGTCGCTTCTACATCTACGGGGGAGGGGCGCTCATCTATGGACGCTCTAGCCATACACAACACAACTGCACAACCGTGGAAAGTACCGGTGCCTGAACGTCCGCGCGGCTCTGGCGACGGCGACCGATTGCTGTCCCGCGATAAACTTCGTCTGCTCAGTCCCGCAAGAGGGCGCCGGTCGTCGAGGTCGGAGGTCAGCTCGCTACTCGCTAGCGAACTTAGACTGCCGCCCTCGCCCACAGTTGTCGTACCTGTGGAACCTGAACAGAGCGCTGCTCCTTTGTAAACATGCCAAGTTGCAAGAAGAAGCCTCAGCAACACGTTACGCCCTGACCCGCCCTGCCCCTCCCTCCCGACCCCGCCCCTGCCTCGCACCGCCCCGCCCCCTCGTTGCGCCAGGAAGCCCCATCACTGCGGGACCATTATCTGATTATCGGTTGCCTCTATCTCCGCGAACACTCGCACCACCACACCACGGCCTGCACTCATCTCTCACTGCACATCACGCGCAGCATATCACTGCAGAATGATAAAACACCTGAAATACATTAGACATCTAATATGACGAACATTGCATGGTCTTGCACACCTGTCATTGTCCCTCCCGTAACTCTATAACGACATTCTTACGCAGTCGTTTCACACTCTGCCACCAAGGTGCTGCATCGACCTCTCGTCGGTTAATTTACCACTGTGTATCACATACGTTGATATTGGCCCATGCCCTTTCTCACTAGGGATAGGCCATATTTTAGGAACAACAACAACTCATTTAATGTCTTGATCTTTTAAGAATTGCAATCCTTTGAGAGAATTGGTTCAATGCAGACATCACATTTCATTATTAATTCCAATTGTCACTGGTATTTTGCCTAAAGTAGTAAGCATTTGATTTCGCAAGATTACTCATACTCAGTTCATGCAGGCTTTATCAATCCAAGCAGTTCCGACAATGGCAACCTACGTTATACAGACGAGTTTAGATGGAGGTACGGAATTGGCAGAGTTGTGACAGATGGTCCTGGAACAGCAGCATGTACAATTCTACATCACGTCGACGAAAACGATTCGAGTGATTAAAAGTGTTTTAAGTGGAAATGATGAAGAGGCAATCACAGCAGCTGGCAGAGAGAGGCAGCGCGCGGCAGCTTGCTTGCATGCCAGCGAAGATTTTCGACTACAGGCGGCCGGACATCGTCCAGAGGGACGGCCGGCCATGACCCGTGCTGACCCCTAGTTTCTCCATCCCTAGAACACCAGGCTTCTCCGAGCTGTCTGTAAGCACCGGTCACGGCAGACGAGACCACACCAGTGTCACTGTACACAACAGCAGTCTCTCAGGTCAGCGACAGCCACACGGGGGGGGGGGGCGGCTCAGTGCCTCCGCTGCTGCTGCCGATAACCACTCACTCATTCCATCACTCGCGCACGCGTCAACAAAACAGCATGACCAAAGCGAAAAGGTAAGCAGTCGATGGAGGTGGCAGGGGGATTGCGCAGGCAGCGGCGGCATACTCTCTATCGCGCACTCGCGCGCATGTGCACTGCGTGGCGAGCGTGACTGTGTAGGGGGCGTGCGTGGGGGGTATACGTACTCTGCACGCCGCCCGCCAGGCTGTCCTCATAATCAAACTCCGACAGATCGCTATCGCTGAATCCGGAGATGCGGCCGTGCGGCGGCATCAGGTACTCGGCGGGCGCCACCTGGTGTCGCGTGTCCGAGTGTCGTCGGCCGTGCTGCTGCACACGCATAGAAACACAAGAACATGTTGATCAGATCACAGGATTACTGGTGAAAAAATCTGCTCACCTACACACAAGTTAGAATACCATAGTCGATTTGGTTCATGGCATATTCTGATACGTACGCTATACATTCTTAAGGTCATTCTCGATTTATCCTCAAGGTCATTCTCATGGTTTTTACATCTAATGGATTGCAATCGATTTGAACGTGAATCTCATTTATGTAGATCTAATTGTTCGTCCCTGCCCGCTTTATCTGTACCTTACAAGTATCAACTGGCCATGCCAACCTGCAGGCATTTCTATCAACACTACATATATATCAAGGCCGTACACAGGAAATTTTCAGTGGGGGGGGGGGCAGTAGATGAGAGAAGACTTAGACCAGAGCGAGCTACCCCTGGAAACATTGTTATGACCCCGCTGGGGGTTGCAAATTTAAATTTCTGGAGGGGGGGGTCCCGCTATGTACGGCCATGATATATATAATAGCTGGATGCAACAACCACTCTACTTGTGGGACGCATACCTGATGTGCCAAAGGTAAGGATATATGGTCAGTATGAGGTCTGAGATGGAACCACTGTGGTGTGTTGTCCAGTGGATGTACCCCTAGATCCAGCACAACCTAAAACAACCAAACAAAACAACCTTAGTTTCACTCTGGAGTTATCAAATACAAATTTGAATGCGATGAGACCGATCTATAGCATCTCTGCATAATGTAATGCAGCTGGCTGGGGCAAAATCGGCACGCAAATTCCTATTCCCTCGTGTATTGCATGCGGGCGTTGCGCACATTTTTCCCCGCCATCCATTTATTGCCGATATTACTCTCCCATGTTAATCACTCGTTCGCCGTGTAACGCACTGCTGCGCGCACGTCGCTGCTCTCGGCCCTCATTCCCCATCACTCTCTTGCTCTCTCGCCTCTCTCCTGCTCCCCTTTTCTGCTAATCTCACCCTTTGCTTCTGCTCTCAACCCCCTTTGCTTTTGCTCTCACCCCTTCCCTAGCCTTCCCTTCTTTCATCACCATTCCCCCTCTCACGTGCGTGCATACCCTTATAAGGAAGCCATCCATCACGTGGTGATTGTAGGCCCACATGGTGAGCACAAGGGAGCGTCTCGCAGGTCCTGCTCATGCCCCCCTCCCTCCTTCCTCCTTCCATTCTCCTTCCTTCTTCCCCCCCCCCTCACGTGCATGCATACCTCTCCGAGGAAGTCGTTCATCGCGTGTCGGTCGTAGTCCCACACGGTGAGCACGAGAGAGCGTCGCAGCAAGTCCTGTTCACGCACGGGCTGGAAGACGAACGTCTGGTCCCAGCGCGGCTCACACGTCATCGCCACCGTCTTTGTCCGTCGCTTGTCACTGAAACGTCAACAACGGTGTCAATCTCACGTGACATCAATGATGGGTAAACTCAAACAAGGTTAACATTATGAGATTCCAACCTTACCTGATGTCAACATTACAAGGTGTCAGATTTTTCCAATGTCAACATCAAAAGGTGTTAGCATCACCAGATATCAACTTCACAAAGTGTTTACACAATTTAATAGCAATAGATGGCTATTTCATAAGCTGTCAATATAGCCAAACTCATGTGGGTGAACCGATATCATGCTTGCACTGACATTATTTATTCATACTAAATGTGGTGTCAGTATCGGGAAAATTAACTCCACTCTTGCCATGGCCAAACTATGGTTTCATCACACAGATACCTAAAACAATCCATGAAATTTACAATCTAGTTACAAATTTACGTGATCATGCGTCATACATTGGGCGGTTCCCTGAGATTCTATTCTCCACATTCTATTCATTGAAAAAAACTTCCACACATTCGATCCCCTTTTCTCACTAGATTATCATTCGCTGATAAACACAGGCTACCACTACCCGTGAGTTAATAATAATTGGTTGCCTGTTGCGAGATCTAATGATGACCCAATCTGGGTATTGACCGCATATTTCCCAGCAGGTGGCAGCATCTCAGGTCTCAACGTTTTTACACCTGAACGAAAAGGATGACAGACGAAAAGTTTACCTCGACTAGTTTCAACACATTATCTGTACCCATTTGGTACTTCGTAGTGGTGCAATATTTCACGTCTCATGTTCGACATTACACCACTCGTAAATGCATGGACAAGAAAAACGTGAGATCCAGCTATTCTTAACACCTTCTCCTCACAACCACTTTCCTAATGATTACTGAAGACTAATCCAACTGGACCCCTTCCCCAACCCCCACACACACACTGACCGGGCCTACAACACGCACAGAGCGCACACGGAGCTCACTTACTTGCGATCTGGAAGCAGCACCATCTTCACGTAGGGATTCCTTGGCTGGTGCGTCGCAGCCTTCAGTGGGAGCTCGGTCGCACACATCACCATCACTAGCAACTGCGCCTGCTGGCTGTTGTGGTACAGCTTCAACTGCAAGAGTACAACGCGTGTTGCCCACACATGTAGCGACACTATCAACATAACTATACAGTGGTACCTGCTTTATCGGGACAGGTCGGAAACCATGTAAATATCACGTTGAAGTCGTGGTCTCCTGATTAAGTAGTGGACACATGCCCAGCCGCATATGCACACCTACTCGTACCTTACGCAATACTCGTTGCATGCGCATGCAGCACGCGCTCTATTGCTAATACTTTCGTGTGTAGCTCTAACCTTTCAACAAAACTATTGTATCTATGTTCGGGCCAGTGAGAACTCACCATGCCTGGTGAAGCACACTAGAGCAGTACAGAACAAGTGCTTATGACTCGGTTAAGTTCATGTTAAGTTAAGTTAAGCTAGGTTTCAGTCTAAAGATTTGTGAACTCACTAGGTTCAAAATACACTAAGAAGCCAAAAATGACGTGTTTGATTTTAAGTTAAGGATCGTTTTTACAACGTTCAATTAAGAAAGAATGGAATTTGTTCTACAGAAAACATTACATTTAACTGAGGCTCTGCCTCCCTTATACGATGTATACTTCCTTATAAAATAACGTGTACGACATACATTGTATTTCGCAGACTTACATCATGTAAGTGATGCGCCAATTTATTAGAGACCTGGTAAACCAGGGACCATTGTACTATAGTATCGATATGTTGTCCGGATCATAACTAGTGGGGGGAAGGGGGCCACTTAACACCCCAGACCAATGTAGATATGATTACATGGTCAATAGCCAATGGCCTACTGCCACGGTCAGCTGTGCAGAACACAAACTGCACATGGCTTTGCCACGCCCAAATTAGGTTTGCTACCCCCCTGGTTATTGGTAGAACCTGTAGCTCTCGCTTGCGTCACGCCACCTATCCAGCCTCACTAAGGAATCCCACAACGCCACTCAAAACTGATTGTCGACGCAAACAAGACATTTTGTTGGGCCAAGAGAGAGAGAGAGAGAGAGAGAGAGAGAGAGAGAGAGAGAGAGAGAGAGAGAGAGAGAGAGAGAGAGAGAGAGAGAGAGAGAAGGGGAGACAGTGAAAGTACGAGAGTGCGCAAGAGAGAGGCAGAAGGTGGGGGAGTGTGTGTGCATGAGGAAAATACAGCATGAAATATAGCAAAAATATTGATACAAAAGAAAGACATAGCAAGAGCGAGAGAGAGAGAGAGATAGAGAGAGAAGGCAAGACAGTGAAAGAACGAGTGTGTGGTGCATGAGAGAGGCAGAAGGTCGGAGAGAGTGTGTGTGCATGAGAAAAATATAGCACTGGAGACAAAAGAAAGAATTAGCAAGAATGAGAGCGAGAGCGAAAGAGAGAGATAGAGCGCACGCTTGAAACACCGGGTGCGAGAGAACCAGCGAGGCGTCTGCACCACCGACCTCGATCCTGCCGACGACCTCAGGCGGCTGGGACTGCAGCATGGTCGTCTCACGAGCACCCGGTGACGTCACCGTCACGCTGGGCCGCCGGTCGAGGCTTACGTGCTCCTTCGTCTTCTGCGACGTGCGATGCCGCTCGCTCAGCTCCGAACCTATCGGCCTGCAGCGGAAACACACACACACGACACGTAAGTAACAGCGCAACGTCGGCACGCACACACCGGTTATCCGCACCGTTCACCTCCTTGTTACTTGATCCTGTTAAAACTGTGAATATTATTAGTATGGCATCAAGGCTCGTATACGAACAACGCTATGTGCTCTATCTATACGCGTCCTTTTCGTCCTTACTTTTGTTGGTATGAATGATTGGAGATGTTTACCGAAATGCGATTGAATGCTGATCATGAGGTCAAGTGACTTTCTAAGAACTGGCGCAAATAGGGTAAAGGTCATTCGAGCCGACTAGAATTCGAATTGGATTTTAAAGTAACGAGATTATGGCGTACAGTGAGTGTGGAGATGACTGTGGAGTACTAGACAAAGGACCTATTAGCATGTGCAGCCTCTCGCGAGTATTTAACTTTAGGTGGATCATTACAACATGACATGTTACAAGTTACTTCCGCCAAGATTCAAAGAATTATGCTAATCAGCTGTGACATATCGCAACAGTTATAAATGAAGATACTAGACACTACGCATGATAATAATGCTCATAGGGTCTATGTCCCCCAGGGTACTGCCGGAACGTACCCTGGGTAAGGTCAGGTATACCGGAACGTACCCTGGTCACTATTTGATATGGTTAGGGTTAGGGTTAGGGTTAGGGTTAGAGTTAGGGTTAGGGTTAGGGTTAGGGTTAGGGTTAGGGTTAGGGTTAGGGTTAGAGTTAGGGTTAGGGTTAGGGAGTAGGCGTAAGCGACTCCCCAGACTCGTTAGTGGAGTAGGGGAGGTACGGTCCGGAATATTAGATATAGTACCAGGGTACGTTCCGGTATACCGGACCGTACCCAGGGTACGTTCCGGCAGTACCCCGGGGGACATAGACCCTCTCAGCGATAATAATGCATCCTTGTCCCCATCGAAATAAACATTCGCACTGCTTGATTAACTCCCATCAGATAATACACATTCACATTATCAAGAGTAGATAATATAACATTATTATGTGTCATATACGTTGTTATTATCTACTCTTGACATTATGTATTCTCTATTGATAGCACGTCTCATAATGCCTGGATTGCAGACGAAATGCATTTCTGGCACATAAGTGCTGTTTTTATCTTAATGTGCTCCAACAACTCATTAGCATTTTACTATAATGTGTCACACGTTGTCCCACTAACGAACAGTCAACACGCATACACACGTGAGTGCACAAGCGCACACACACACGTGGACAAGCACACGCCTGCGCGCACACACACACACACGTGGACAAGCACACACACACGCACGCACGCACGCACACACACACACTCCCACTCACACACACACGCGCGCACACGTTTGCACGCGTTATCATGCTCATTGACTGGCTTCCGCATTGTCAGGAATTCGATTACGATAATTTAAGCAGGCATGGTTTTTGCACAGATCTCAAGGCAACAAACAGCGAAGGAAAACTAGTTCACACCCACTGATGATGAAGACCGTGCGACATTATGACGATGGCGAAAGCAACCGTGTCACATGATGACAAAAACAACATAAACAATGACCCTGTCCCACTATGATGACGGTGATGACCGGGTGACAGGATGATGACAAATACCCTGTCACACAACGACGATAACAATGATAGTGGCAACGACCCTGTCACATGACAACATTGATAACTATGAGGTTGACCGTGTCACACAAAAGCAATGATAACAACAATGACAACGACCGTGTCACATGATAATAAAAAAATAACTACGGTGACAATGACTGTGTCACACAAAGATGATAAGGATGATGATGATGATGATGACCACTTAGCACGACAACAATGACGACAATAACGATGACCATAACACATGACAATCATAACAACCACATGTGACATATGTCAACGATGATGACAACTTTGTCACATCATGACAATGACTATGATGACATCCGTGTCACACGATGACAGTGAAAACGACGACAATGTCGCAATGACTACAATAATGATAACTGTATCACCCAACAATGACAAAGATAATGACGACAACCGCGCCATGACAACGGTGACAACAATAACTACGCCACACAATGACAACATGAATGATAACGGTATCATACAACAAAGACGGAAACAACTTTGTCATGTGACAACGGTGACAAAGATGATCACGTCACACAATGAAGACGACTAGGATGACAACGACAATAGATGATGCTGGGTGAGAAATGCATGACGAGCGTCATTTCTGAGTAGACCTCCGGTCACTCTCTAAAACTCCTTCTCATAAAGCCACCGCAAACCAATTATAACCGCAACGCTATCTGCATAACAACCACCGCGCATAACATCGACGTGGGAATGATGCGATTCCAATCTCTCCCCCAAACCTCCGTAAAGCCACCAGAGAGATGGTGCGCCCATCGTGCAGCACGTTCTACCCCACACAAGCATCCCTGAGATCGTACATGCACGCGGAAAGCATAGGATACCGTGCCTCTCTGCCAAACGACGCTGTGACACAACTGCCGCGACCGTATGGCAATACGACATGGACGAGATGACCTCCGATCTTTCACCCCCCCCCCAACCTCGTGACGCGGGACACAGAGCGACTGACGACACCCTCGCGTCTCTCCGCGGCGGCCTCCCGACGCCGTGACCTTTGACCCGACGGCACAGCCGGACCGCCGTTGCTCCCCGCGCACACAGGCGGCGAGGGATTGCGGCTTCACCTCTCGCGCCACTTGCGTAATGGCCCGCTGCTCGCGGCTCGGGCTCGGCATATTTTATTCACGAGCCATGCATGCCACCGCGCGCCATGCACGCTGGGGTATTGATCTCTCTCTCTCTCTCTCTCGCTCGCTCTCTCTCTCTCTCGCTGGCGCGCGCGCGCTTAGTCCGACTGCTATTACACAATGGTCATCCGCGTGACGTAGCTGCCCTCCCCCATCTCCTCCCTCGCACGCGCGGCCGGTGACCAGCGGCGGCGGCGGCGGCGGTGCTGCGGGGGCAAAGGCGCAGGAATTCGCTTCAGCAATTTGCGGACGCGCGCGACGATGGCCGATCGCAACCACCTCTGTCGCCGCACGGGGAGAGCGAGCAGCGCCCTCGTGCGGGACAGAGAGAGGCGAGCTCTGTGTGGGGACTTCTCGCAGCAACACGCCAGGCCGCAGCGGAAACCACTGCGCAATTGGCGAATTGTTGATATCAATCATCTGATAAAAGATCGAGGTAGTGGCTAACATGGATGTACACGTATATAAGCACGTATACGAGCTATATAACATATCTAGTACATAAATATACATAGAAGATAGATGGATAGACAGACAGACAGATACCTAGCCAGACAGCCACCCAGTCAACCATCCCAGCCAGCCAAACAGACGGACCGAATGAACGGACGGGCGGGTGGGCGGTCAGACAGATACACACACCGACCGACCGACCGATCGACAGACAGACAGACAGACAGACAGGACAGACAGACGGACAGGAAGATGGATATATAGATATGGTACAGAATGAACCAGACAGCGGCAGAAAGAGACACACTCAAATAGAGAGAGAGCGACAGACAGAAATAGAGAGGCAAAGAGAGGGAAAGGAGAGAGACAAACAGAGAGAGGGAGAGCGAGAGAGAGAGAGACAAACAGAGAGAGGGAGAGCGAGAGAGAGAGACAAAGAGAGAGAAAATGAGATTAAAAGGGGGAGATCAGGGGTGGTAGTCCGAGAATGGGAGAGTGGAGGCACAGAGGGAGAGATACACTGATAGCCAGTGAGGTGGGGGCAGCCACGTTGTTCTGCTCATCTCAGAGTGCTGTACAGCTCCTGTGCATTAGCCATCTCAGTGCACGCGATTGATCATACCACACTAATTAATATTTCATCCCTCACCCATTGATTTCACCATTGTTTGTATTATTCGTAAATACGTATTGATGAGGTACGCTAGTCCGAACGTTCACGCGCGTCAAAAGCATTAATCGCTGCGGAAAGCACACTGAGAAGATAATGTCAAAACAACAACAACAACAACAACGACGACGACGACGATGACAACAACCCACGTTACGACGTTCATCACAATTTTATGCTATTTGTGTGTCGTTATAGCAACTGTTATGTGAACTGTTACGTGTTGTTATTGTTGCTTTTGTCGTTGTCGTTACTGTTGTTATTTTTCGTCGGCGCATCGTTTTTTCAATGTGCTCTGCATTCGTCAGTAGTTTGCCGCAGAAGACGGTCAGAGTTCGGCAGCCAACAATTACACCTTGTCTGTCAATCGCTCGCTGCTCGGGCATCATCACGGCCCGCAGATGTAATCAATACTATATTTTAAGCAGGTCACTGGGTGCCAGGTCTGATGGGGTCTGCAGTACACCTAGTTACGAGAAACCCGTCAATACAGCTGCAGCGTTGTTCAGCACAGCTAGTACACGCACGCACGCACGCACGCACGCACGCACGCACGCACACACACACACACACCAGACGCCCCGCTGGGTTATGGTCGCGACAACGCAAGTGTTAGCGTCGTATCCAGCCGCTTCACCGCCGCTTCACCGCCACTAAGCCCGTCTGAACTCATAACCCTGCTGACAGGCATACACAAGAGTAGATAGGAAGTAGGAACTGTGACATGACTTAGCTTATTAACTTAGAAAAATGTTTTTGCAAAACGACGGAACTGTTGCAAAACTGAGGAGATATGTGTTTTCCGTTTCCATGAAGATGTACACCTGTGCTGTTTGTGTGACTGCGTGCGTGCGTGCGTACGTGCGCGCGTGCGCGTGTGCTTGCTTGCGTATATATATATATATATATATATATATATATATACATATATATATATATATACTAGCTGGGCTACCCGGCGATGCCCGGGATAAAGGAGAAAAGAGCTAGAATTTAGTCTGCCATCATGGCTGTACTGATCTTATTCGGATATTTTAAATCTGTCCCAAGAATTTCACTTCTGTTCAGTTCTGCAGCGCTTCTTGGTATACACAACATTCTTGGCCTTGTCATCTTGAGAGAGGATGTAGAGGTTGTCTGGGTTACCCACCCTGGAGCACCCCACATAGAGCTGGCCATGGGAGAACACTGGCTCACTGAGGTTGAGTCCAACGACCTTGCGACCCTGGGCCTTGTTGATGGACATGGCAAAGCTTAGCTTGACTGGAAACTGCAGCCTCTTGAACTCAAATGGCAGGTCTGATGGGATGAGCGGGATCCTTGAGATGAATACATTTTTGCCCTTGCCCTTGCCTGTCATGATTTTGGCTTCGATGACTCTGGGCATGAGCTGCTTCACTGTGAGCCTTGTGCCGTTGCAGAGCTTGGGAGCATCCAGGTTGCGCATTAGCAATATGGGCGCGCCAACCTTGAGCACCAAGTTGTGTGGTGGCAGATCTGAAGGCGCCAGGCTGTTGAGAAACTCGGTCGGATAGTGCACCACCTGGTCAGGATCAGGAACTGTGTCCATCGACTTGTAACTCGTTGGGTCGCCAGGCAGTTGCTCCAGCAGCTTGGCGTTGATGTCATCCACAGCCAAATTCTTAGGAGCAAGGATGGCTCGCTCGCTGAGCCAGTCTTGGTCTTGGTATCGGAGGTGGAGGTTTGGAAAGACTGGTCATCAGCTGGGTGATGTCCGCCGCTGCTTTGCCGAATGGCAGCTTGACTTGGCCATCAGCTGTGGTGGCGAGTCTGCCAGCAGTTGCTGAAAGAAGCGGCCAGCTTCTTCATCGCCGCTGAGCTGCACCCTCATGTTGGTCTTCAGGCTGTGGCGGTTCACCTTGCTCCAGAGGAAGGACGACTTGATGCAGGCATTGACAGCATCTGCTCTTGTTCCTTTGGCGATGACTGGCAAGGTTTGGCAAAAGTTGCCCGAGAGCAGGACAGTCACACCTCCCATGACGTTTGTGTTGTGCCGAAGGTCTTGTAGGGTATTGTAGAAGATCTTCAATGCTTTTGGAATGCGTGTAATGCCATAACTTTTCATCAACATTTCAATGAACTCATCTCACGAGATGACTAGAGTATTAGTCGCTGCCATTATGGACATATGTATAGTATCAGGAGTGAATCAAAAATTGATTTGATTCATTTCTGAGTATATAATATATATATATATATATATATATCAGGGGCAAATAATGACAAATTATTTGAAAATTATTTGAAAATTTTACAAACCATTTGTCATTATTAACCCCTGATATATATATATATTTAAAAAAGAATAGTACAATTTATCCAAAACAATCACTTTTAATCCTGAGTAGAAACTGTTTCGAATACCTCATTGCTTGTTTCTGCCACAGTTTTAATTTTCAACAGATTACAATTATGTGTGTAAACCGCGCCGTCGCAAAAACAGCACATATGGATGTTCATCATAAGGGAAACCTTTCCTATTCCTGATAAATTCGTCACAATTAAGCACCGTAACCTGCCGGCCGCAGTCGCCTGCTGCACGCACGCACTGACGCACGCACACGCACGCACGCACGCACGCACACACACGCACGCACGCACGCACGCACTGATACACACACACGTACGCACGCACGCACTGACGCACACACACACACACACGCACGCACGCACTGATACACACACACGTACGCACGCACGCACGCACTGTCACACGCACGCACGCAGACGCCACCTGTGTGAGACGCAAGAAGTCAGCGGCGCGACGCACGTGACTATATATAGTATAGGAATATTTTAGATCAATGCATAATTGCGCATAGTGCCAGCTGGCTCGGCAACAGTGAGATCCGGCAGAGAAGGTCGCTGCATATATATATATATTGGTGTTTATTAGCTCTTGATATATATATACTATGTCTAGATTTCGCTCGCACGACCAGCTCCACCTGCCGCTCCGTGCTTCGACTCAAAGCATCATCGTCGTGACAACCTGAGCTCGAACACTCGCGGTCCGTCAGCGACCGCGGCCCATCTCCCACTCGTAGGACCTCGCCTCCGCCGTGAAACAGAAGGAGAACGCGCCGTTCCACAGAGCCGGCGCACACCGAATCGCGCGGCGAAACATTACGCCGGTTGATGTTTCGCATATTTTAAGAAACACCTCCCCCGCGTCTCCATTGCCGGATCCACCGCCTCGTCCCACCACCACACGACCAGCCGATTGCTCGCCCCACCGAGAATCGGAGAATTTGGAAGCAAGTTGGCGATTGCCCATCCGTCATTCAACTCCATCCCCGCCACCCCCCTGCGGCCTTCTAACTCGAATGAGCGGCGCTGCCTCGCCGCCGCCACGGTGCCTCCCCTTTGCCGCTGGCCGGCACGCATTAATTCATAGGGGATTTACAGGCGCAGAACTGCGCACACGCGAGGTACACAGCAGTGGTGGTTATCGACACTCGGGGGACTCGACGCAAGCGAGCGAGCGAAAAGCCGAACATCGCATCTACACCGCTCACAACATCACATCCACACAACATCGCATCCACACAACATCGCGTCCACACAACATCGCACCCACACAACATCGCACACACATCAACATTGCATGCCACACAACATCTACATTCCACACAAACAATCGCCACCCCACAACATGCGCATGGCCACACAACATCGCGCATCCCACACAACATCGGTCCACACAACAGCGCACCCACACAACAGTCGCACCCACACAACATCGCATGACCACACAACTCGCATGCCACACAACATCGCATCCACACAACATCGCATCCCACCACAAACATCGCTATCACACAACATCGCACCCACACAACATCGATCCACACAACGTCGATCCGCACAACATCGCATCTACACCGCTCACAACATCGCATCCACACAACATCGCGTCCACACCGCTCACAACATCGCACCCACACAACATCGCATCCACACTGCTCACAACATCGCACCCAGACAACATCGCATCCACGCAACATCGCATCCACACAACATCGCATCCACACAACATCGCATCCGCACAACATCGCATCTACACCGCTCACAAACATCGCACCCAGACAACATCGCATCCACACAACATCGCATCCACACAACATCGCATCCACCACAACCATTGCATCCACACAATATCGCATACTACACAACATCGCATCCACACAACCATCGGCATCCACACATGACGTCGCCATGCCACACAAATCGCGATGGCCGCACAACAT